CTAATTCTCATACCCTAGATTTTTGTAGATGAGATGATTATCCAAATGATCCAGAATATACTTAAAAATATATACTACAGAAATTAAAATGCAAATCTTTTTTAAGATTATTTATTTATTTGAAAGTCAGAGTCATGCTGAGAGAGAAGGAGAGGCAGAGAGAGAGAGAGGTCTTTCATCCACTAGTTCACTCCCCAAATGGTCGCGATGAATAGAGCTGAGCCAATCCAGAGCCAGGAACCAGGAGGTTCTTCCAGGTACCCAACGTGTGTGCAGGGACCCAAGCACTTGGGCCATCTTCTGCTGCTCTCCCAGGCCATAGCAGAGAGCTGGACTGGAAATGGGGTATGGGATGCTGGAACTGCAAGTGGCGGCTTTACCCGCTGTGCCACTGAGCTGGCCCCCAAATGCAAATTTTTCAAAACTTTACCAGAATTCATGGCTTACAGCCCATTGATGCCAGTTTAGTTTGAGAAATGTGGTTTTGTGCTTAGTGTTTGAATTTCTGATGTTTGATTTTAGAAATCAAAGCTAAAATTGGGGCAGGCGCTGTGGTGTAGCGGGTAAAGCCGTTGCCCATAGGGCAGGCATCCCATATGGGCATCAGTTCAAGTCTCGGCTGCCCTACTTCTGATCCAGCTCTCTGCTATGGCCTGGGAAAGCAGTAGAAGATGGCCCAAGTCCTTGGGTACCTGTATTTGTGTGGGAGACCTGGAAGAAGCTCCTGGCTCCTGGCTGCGGATTGGCACAGCTTCAGCTGTTGCAGCCCAGTGGGAAGTGAACCAGTGGATGGAAGACCTCTCTCTCTCTCTCTCTCTCTTTCTCTGCCTCTCCTCTTTCTGTGTAACTCTGCCCTTCAAATAAATTAATAAATAAATCTTAAAAAAAAAAAAAAAGCTAAACTGTAGTTAACTAGGTAGTGCTTGGGGTAAACTTTAGGTACAAAAGCCTAGTCCTTCAACACTGATTACTTCTGACATCTCACAGATTATTCATTTGTCTGTAATACAGTTGTAGGTTAGCCCTTTATATTATGTGCAAGAATGAAAACATTTGTTCACCTAGATTATTCTCTTCCTGTAACTGAAAATAACTGTTTTTGCAATGGTAATATTCTATTAAAAACGGTTTTAAAAATGTAAAAGCATAGAGCATTTGTCATCTCTATCTTGTATTCTTTTTAAATTTATATTTAATTTACTTCTTTGTCATTGTCAGACCTTCCATTTTGGTCTATTTACTGTCAAAGCCTTAGAGTTGATCTTCCTGCCTCTAGGCCAAGGCAGCCCTGAGATGTGGGTAGCTCTCCCAGGGCCCAGCTGTGATCCTGCTGCTCATCTGATTTCTTTCAGGGAAGGGTCTTTCATTAATTCCCCTGCCCTCCGCAAAGCTGGGAAGCAGTAAGTAGGTATTAATGAAATGACTGATAAGCATCATAGGCTAAGTAAAAACTAAGAGAATCTGGTAGATTTTAGGATATAATGCAGTTGCAGAGGATATTGGTTAAGAACTGAATGTGAGTATTTAAAAACTTATTTGAAAGGAGTTTCTCAGCTTGTTAGTGGACCTTATGGGGATTTGGGTTTATTAATTTATTTCAAGTGTGTTAAGTCCTGGAACATTTTGTAAATCTATCCCACTGAGATAGACCGCAGTTATTTTCAAAGCCCAGCGTAAATAAGTCTGGAGTTTTCGGCGAGCTACCCCTTCTCCATGACTGAATTAGGCACTCCTCAGATTGATGGTGAGAGAGTGTTCACTGGCTGTGTTCCAGGCACTGGGGATCAAGGTACAGTGGAGATGAAGGCAGTCAGTCCCTGTCCTCATGTAGCTTTTAGTCTGAAGAAATAGGGGAGGGATGATCAGGCTATTAACAAATAAAACTTTCTGAGTGTGATAGATACAGTGATGGAGAAACCAGGTGAATAGGTTGGATTCCCTGGAGCAGTAGAGATGAGGGCAGGGGTACTGTGGTAGATAGGTCGTTTAATACGTTTAAGACATTTAGAAATCATGTGACTTTATGAAATCAGTGGCCCCTTCCCTCTCATTGGACTTAAACCATTTAGCCATGCTCGACTGTGAGGAGCAAAAAAGCGCTGGCTTCTGTGAGACCTGCGCCTGGATCAAGGTGTAACTATTTTTAATTAGGCCTCCATCTTGTAACTTGGGCCTGACCAGGTCCTGAACCCTAAGCCAGAAGCTCCTAAAAGTAAATAAATGAACTCCCCTTGCAATAAACTCTCCTAGCAACAGCCGATTAGCAGGTAACAGATAAGGTCATTAATAGCTTCCTGAGACCCTGCAGTTGGGCACGTACACCCCAGCAGCTCGGACCCTATGCTTCAGCCAATCAATTCAGAAGGCATCAACCCCAAAGCCATCCAGCCATCTTTAGTAGGTCCATTCCCGCCACTGGATGCACTAATCAATTCTAAGAGATGGCCTTTGAATTTCCCGTGGGATGAGATGATTTGCTAAATGGTACCATGATGTATAGAATGTCTCTGAAAACCCTATAAAAATCCTGTTCACTGAAGGGTCGGGGCTCTCAATTCAGACCCGCTGCGTCGGTGTTGACTGAGAGTCCAGGCCCGGACCTGCAATAAAGCTCTCGTGTGCTTTACAGCGGTATCGGCTCCTTGGTGGTCTTTGGGGACAACTGAACTGGGCATAACAGCTTCCAAGAATGTATTTTGCCTTTAATTCTATTTATTTGATGAACTAAAAATACTGGAAGCATGTGGGATGCCTTGTCCATCCTGGAGTGGTGGAGTCTTGCTCTCACACATAGCTCACAAATAAGCCGTCCCAAGGGGTGGTGGACGGAGGCTCGTCTGCTCTTTGTTCTGTGAAGACCCTCCCTTTCCTCGGAGTGGTCCTCGACTCAGCCATGATGAGGTCGCATGTGCTGGTACATAGCTTCCATTCCTCTATGGGATAAAATTAGGATGATGATTCATGGCAGTAGGTGCCAAACCCTTTTTCTGCCATGCCCATCAGTTCCTTTTGAGAGTTTTTTTAGCATTGGCCACCATGCCCTGCGTGTGACCCTGATTGAAACAGATAAGGGCGCCTGACCAGCACACAGTCCTCTCTGCTCAGGGCCTGCGGGGCGTCCTGGGTTGTGCTTGTGCTGGGGCTCTGCACAGGCTTGCAGTCAGCCCTTTTCTCCTTACAAGTTCGAGCTTTGCCCCTGGTTCACAGGAGACCCCTACTCCTGGAGCTCCTCATCCTAACAGTTTGAAAACACTTGTTCTTCTAATTACAGAACTTCAAAACATAAAGCCGAAATGCACAAAAGAGCAATAGGCAAATCCACCACCAAAGCTGGGGGTTATAGCATACTGTCTCAGTAGTTGACAGAACAGTAAAAATTCAGTGAGGATATCAAAGAGCTGAGTGACATTATCAACCGACTTGACCTAATTGACATTTATAGAACACTACCCTCAGCAAATGCAGAATACGTGTTCTTTTTGAGTGCACGTGGAGTGTCCCCTTGAAAAGATGGACTGTATTCTGAGTCATAAAATACATCTCTAATTTCAAGTGATAGAAATGTTACAGAGTAGCATGTTCTCTGACAATAATAGAATTAATTACAAATTAATAATGATAGCTAGAAAAATCTCCAAATACTTGGGAATTAGCACAAAGATGAAATCACAAGGAATATTAAAAAACATTTGAAGTGAGTGCTGATAAAAACGTATCGAGGGCCTGGCATCGTTGCACAGCAGGTTAAGCTGCTGCTTGTACCTCTACATCCCATATAGAAGCACCATTTCGAGTCTCAGCTCTGTGCTTCGTGTTAGCTTCCTGCTGATATTCCTGGGAAGGCAGCAGATGATGGCCAGGCGCTTGGACCCCTGCCTCGCCATGAAGGAAACCCAGATGTAGTTTCTGGCTTTGGCCTGGCCCAACGTGAGCCATTGCAACCATTTGAAGAGTGAACCAGCTCATGGAAGATATTCTCTCTCTCTCCCCTCACTTTCCCTCTCTTCCTCTCTTCTCTCTCTTTCTCTTTCAAATAAATATTTTTTAAAAAATCACTGATATTGGGGCATACTGGGCTAAGCCTCTGCCTGCAGCACCAACATTCCATATGGGTGCCGGTTCTAGTCCCAACTGCTCCTCCTCCAATCCAGTTCTTTGTTATGGCCTGGGAAAGCAATAGAAGATGGCCCAAGTGCTTGGGCCCCTGCACCCACGTGGAGACCTGGCGGAAGCTCCTGGCTCCTGGTTTCAAATCAGCTCAGCTCTGGCCATTGCAGCCATTTGGGGAGTGAACCAGTGGATAGAAGACCCTTCTGTCTCTCCTTCTCTCTGTCTATAACTCTACCTCTAAAATAAATAAATAAAAAAAATATTTTTTAAAAATTCACAGAAATGAATAAAAATAATCTAGCAGCTCTGGAGGGAATTTTTTTTTCTATTAAAAGATTACTGTAGAAAAAGGGAAAAGCTTAGAATAAGTAATCTAAGCCAGAGGTTGACAAACTTTTTCTGCAGGGTCGGATAGCATATGTTAAGCTTAGGAGACTATATAAGTTTACCACATACTGATCCTCCCATGCCCACCTTCCCAACCATTTAAAAATGTAGAAAAATATACTTCTTTTTTTAAGATTTATTTGAAAGTCAGAGTTAAACAAAGAGAGGAGAGGCAGAGAGAGAGAGAGAGAGAGGTCTTCCATCCACTGGTTCACTCCCCAACTGGCCGAAATGGCCAGAGCTGCGCCGATCCAAAGCCAAGAGCCAGGAGCTTCTTCCAGGTCTCCCATGCAGGTGCAAGGGCCCAAGCACTTGGGCCATCCTCCACTGCTTTCCCAGGCCATAGCAGAGAGCTGGGTCGGAAGAGGAGAAGCAGAGACTCAAACCAGCGCCTATATGGGATGCCAGCCCCGCAGGCAGAGGGTTAACCTATTGTCCATGACACAGGCCCCAATATTTATGATTTTTTTAAAAATGATTTATTTATTTATTTGAAAGAGTTAGAGAGAGAGAGTCTTCCATCCTCTGGTTTACTCTCCAGTTGGCCGCAACGGTGGGAACTACACCGATCTGAAGCCAGGAGCTTTTTCTGGATCTTGCAGGAGGGTGCAGGAGCCCAGAGACTTGGGCCATCTTCTGCTGCTTTCCCAGGCTGCAGCAGAGAGCTAGATCGAAAGTGGAGCAGCTGGGTCTTGAACTGGCGCCCGTATGGGATGCCAGCACTGCAAGTAGCAGCTTAACCTGCTACGCCACAATGCTGGCCCCAATATTTATGATTTTTTAAAAGTCTCCGCCAACTAGGAATAGAAGTATATTTCCTCAGCCTAGTAAAGGAAATCTATGGAAAAACCTACGGCCAACAGATAAGATTAGGAGCCAGGCAAGGATGTGGGCTTTCCCCACTTTGAGTCAGTGTCTTACTGGCGGTCCCAGCAAGCCACAGATAGCCAGACAAAAGAAAGGAAGAAATGCAGGTGTTACTTGTAGACAAAATAGATTGTCTTTTTTGAAAATCTTAAGGAATCTATGTTGAAAAACTAGAAGTAATAAGTTTAGTTAGTTATAGGATACACAGACACTATAGAAAAATCACCTGCACTTCTGTATATTGGTAATAAGTAGGGAAATGAAAAAAAAAGGCAATATATAATAGCATAAAAAATGTGAAATACTTAGGGGTAAATTTAGCAAAATATGTACATGCAATTGAAGTATGCAACATTGCAGAGAAAGACAAGTAAGAGATACCCAGGGCTTTTCAAGAAGTTCATGGAAAATGAGTGCTATGAAAAACTATGTGTGGATTTCAGATTTTTTTTGCTCCAAAGAAAGTATCTTAATTCCAACTTCCACAAACTTTTTGCGCTTTTGAAAGTAAAGTGGTAAAAAAAAAAAAAAAAGATTTATTTGAAAGTGACACAGTGGAATGGAGAGGGGGGTCTTCTTCCATTGGTTCACTTCCCAGGTGGCCACAAACAGCCATGGCTGGGCCAGGCTGAAGCCAGGAGCCAGGAACTCCATGTGGGTCTGCCACATGGGTGCATGGGCCCAGCACTTGGACCATCCTCTTCTGCTTTCCCAGGTGCATTAGCAGGGAGCTGAATCAGGAAGAAGTAGAGTAGCCGGGACTCAAACCAGTGCCCACATGGGATGCCAGTGTCAAAGACGGTGGCTTAAACTGCTGTGCCACAGTGCTAGGCCCTGAGCTCTTATGTTTTAAATGATCTATTCAAGGGTGTTTGTGTAGTAAACAGCCACAGATGGAGAAGCTAGCGCCTCCCACGGAAGCTCTCCGTGCTTACAGGAGAGTAGATGCCTGTCGGAGGGTACAGAGAAGATTTGTTGCAACCTGTTAGGAAAGATTGGCGTTCTCTCAGCTCTGGGGTCCTCAGTCACGATGCTCTCCTGGCATTTGTAACATTTACCTGGGCCACTGCATGCCTTCTGCCCTGTGGAACTCAGGGCTGTGGAGACACGGCTTCTCGCATGTTCCTTGCTGTGAGTAAAAAGTCTTTTTCTCTGACTCAGGACTGCTGTATCTTCTGCCAGGATCCACCGGTTACTTTATTGGCTTGCAAGGAGGGTATCACACCTCAGAGCCCTCGCAGTCCCTGACAATTTTGGCTCTGAGGATGGAGTGCTGAAAGAAACATGGCTTTCTGCATGAGGATGGATAAGGTCGGGGACGGTGGAAAGACCCCCTGGCATCTCAGGGTGAGTGGTCTCACCCAGGTGTTGGGCAAGGGCAGGGGTGACGGAGGACTGAGAGCCTTGCACTGTTCACTCGCTGTGGAGCACTTAGTGGCCTAGCTGAGAGAGGTAGGGTAACAGTGAGGCACCTGAGTGGTGCTTTGGAGTCCAGGGCCCTGTGGAAAGGCAGTATGGCTAACAACTGCTGTCAGGGCCCTCAAAGCTGTAACACTGGGGTCAGCAGTGAGGGTGTCCAGTGAGGGTGACCTGAAAGGCTTTTAGAAGTCTGGTTGTACTGCAAGAGTGGGTCCTTGAAACTGAAAGTAAATGGAAACCTTTGCTGATTGGAATGGAGCCACGCTATCTCCCTCCCCCACTTCATGACCTCAGGTACTTTAAGGAGAAGGATGAATGAGGCCTAGGGTTTTGTTTTTGTTTTTGACAGGCAGAGTTAGTGAGAGACAGAGAGAAAGGTCTTCCTTTCCGTTGGTTCACCCCACAAATGGCCGCTACGGCCAGGAGCCAGGTGCTGTGTGGGTGCAGGGTCCAAGCACGTGGGCCATCCTCCACTGCCTTCCCAGGCCACAGCAGAGAGCTGGACTGGAAGAGGAGCAACCCGGACAGAATCCAGCGCCCCAACCGGGTCTAGAACCCGGAGTGCCGGCGCTGCAGGCCAAGGAGTAGCCAAGTGAGCCATGGCGCCAGCTGAGGCCTTGGGTTTAAGAGCTCTCTGTCCTTAAGAGAGACCAAAGACCAAACCCATGCTTCTGAGTATGCTGGGGGTAGCTCTAGGTAGGGGAGGGGGTGAAAATGTTCTGGCCCTGAAGGATACAGGCATTCAAGTCATCGTCCTGCCTCATTCCCTGGGGCTGAGCATCAAATCCACTGATGATGGACTTGGGCAAGGTTTGCCGGGGGGTAGGGGGGCAGATGTCTGCGACTTTGTGAGGGGGCCCTTTGACACACGTTGGTGTTGTGACTTTTGTTTCTTAATGTGTAGTTGAGGCTGGTGTTTCTATGTGCCTGTACCGTGAGTACATAAGGGTGAGAGGAGATTGTCCTGAGCAGGAAGAAAAAGGAGGCACATAAGGAAGAGCTAGCACATGAGGAAGAATAAGGACCAGCACACGGGTGAGAGGGGAGTCCCCTGAGCAGGAAGAACAAAGTACTAGCACATAAGGAAGTGCTGGTACTTTGGGGTCTCAAGGTGCTGGGGATTCCTTCGAGCTACAAGTTACTATGATGACGATTTTGCAGTATATATGTATAGAACTCATCTAACCCACTAAGAACACCAAAGCCCCAGCATTTAAGAAAAAAAAAAAAAAAAAGCCAAAGACTTTAGTGGACACTTTTCAAGAGAAGATATACTAATAGACAGTATGCACATAGAGATACTCCACAACATTAGTCATCGGGGAATCGCAAATTAAAACCACAGTAAGATATCTCTTCAAGCCCGCTAGAGTGGCTGAAATGAAAAAGACCGACAAAAGACTTGACAGTTCCAATTGTCAAGGATGTGGAACAGCTAGAGCTCTCTCACACATTGCTGGTGGGTGTACAAAATGATTAAAAAAAAACCCACAAAACCTTGGAATGTTCATAGCAGGATTATTCATAGTAGCTTGAAACTGGAAACAGTCCAAGTGTCCATTGACAGATGAATGGATTTATAAATTGTGATAGATTCATAACAATAGAATGTTACTCAGCAATTAAAAAAGAGAACAGAACACTAATAAGTGTAGCAGTAAAAAGAAATCTCGAGGGTGGACATTGTGGCAGAGTGGATTAAGCTGCTGCTTGGGACACCCACATCCCATATCAAAGTGCCTGGGATCAAGTCCCTCCTCCACTTGTGATCCGGCTTTCCACTAATGTACCTGGGAGCCAGCAGATACGGCTCAAGTACTTACCTGTGCTGCTACCACCCACATGGGAGATCTGGATTGCGTTCTGGGCTCCTGGCTTCCGCCTGGCCTAGCTCTTACTGTTGCAGCCATTTGGGAAATGAACTAGCAGATGAAAGATCTCCATTTCTCTCTCTCTCTCTCTTTCTACCTTTCAAATAAGTAAATAAACAAATAAAACTTTAAAAAAAATCTCAAAAAGCATACTGATACAAAAACCTTACCTTATGACTCTTTTCTGTCATGAATACATTATACAGATGGCCCCTAACTTATATTGGTTCAAATTCAACTTAAGATTTTTCAACTTTATGGTGATGAGAAAACAATACTCATTCAATAGAAACAGTATTTCAAGTATTGAGTTTTGATGTTTCTCTCTCTCTCTCTCAGAATAGTCCTGTACGTGTTGCTCTGACAGGCAGAGTTAGACAGAGAGAAAGGTCTTCCTTTTCCGCTGGTTCACCCCGCGATGGCTGTCGTGGCCAGCACACTGCGCTGATCCGAAGCCCGGAGCCAGGTGCTTCTCCTGGTCTCCCATGCGGGTGCAGGGCCCAAGGACTTGGGCCATCCTCCACTGCACTCCCGGGCCCAGCAGAGAGCTGGACTGGAAGAGGAGTGACCAGGATAGAATCCGGCGATCCCGACTAGGACTAGAACCCAGGGTGCTGGCACCGCAGGCGGAGGATTAGCCTAGTGAGCCGCAGCGCCGGCCTAAGTTTTGATTTTTCTCCCAGGCTAGCGCTATCTAGTACAATATTTTCTTATAATTCTGTTTAGTGGCAATGAGCTGCAGCTCCTAGTCAACCAAGTGATCATGAGGAAAGAGCCCATCCCGTTCTGTGGGGTGTGTATCTAAGCAGGAATATTTGGAACGTTAGTTATAGCAAGGTAATTCAATTTATGATATTTTCAGTTTACTGGGTTTATCAAGACATGGGCCATCATAAATTGGGTAGCATCTGCACATCATTTATATGAAGTTTTAGAATGAGCAAAAAGGCAAAACTAATTCATTTTTTAAATTTTTTTTATTTATTTTTATTTTTTTGACAGGCAGAGTTAAACTGAGAGAGAGAGAGAGAGAAAGGTCTTCTTTCCGTTGGTTCACTTCCCTAATGGCTGCCATGGCTGTCGCGCTGCACCGATCCGAAACCAGGAGCCAGGTGCTTCCTCCTGGTCTCCCATGTGGGTGCAGGGCCCAAGCACCTGGGCCATCCTCCACTGCCTTCCCAGGCCACAGCAGAGAGCTGGACCGGAAGAGGAGCAACCGGGACAGAACCGGTGCCCCAACTGTGACTAGAACCCGGTGTGCTGGCGCCGCAGGTGGAGGATTAGCCTAGTGAGCTGCGGCACTAGCCGCAAAACTAATTCATAGTTTTAGAACAGATGAGTAGTTGCGTGGGTTGGCATTTTGAGATGGAGGATTGGCTGTAAAGGAATAGACTTTTTTTTTTTTTCCATTTTAAAACAATAGTCTAACTCTGCCAGTCCAAAAAAAATAGTGGTAAAAATTTAAGGCAATGTTGTGATTAAAGTTAATAATTTTGGCATCTTTTTTTTTTTTTTTTTTTTTTTTTTTTTTTTTTTTTTGACAGGCAGAGTGGACAGTGAGAGAGAGAGACAGAGAGAAAGGTCTTCCTTTTGCCGTTGGTTTACCCTCCAATGGCCGCCGCAGCCGGCGCACCGCGCTGATCTGATGGCAGGAGCCAGGTGCTTCTCCTGGTCTCCCATGGGGTGCAGGACCCAAGTACTTGGGCCATCCTCCACTGCACTCCCTGGCCACAGCAGAGAGCTGGTCTAGAAGAGGGGCAACCGGGACAGAATCCAGCGCTGCGACCGGGACTAGAACCCGGTGTGCCGGCGCCGCAAGGCGGAGGATTAGCCTAGTGAGCCACAGCACCGGCCAATTTTGGCATCTTAAAAATGTGCATTTGTGTCAGTGCTACCATTCATTGGCTATATGTCCTTGGGCAAAATTATTTAACCTTTCTAAATTTCCTCATCTGTAAAACAAAGAGAATAATGTTACCTACCTGAGAGTTGTGGTGAGGATAAGTTATGTCATCACTATCAGTGCTCAGTGGTGGTTTATTTTGGTAGAGTAGTAGTATTTGCCAGTGCTAATAAGTATAATTTTCCACTTGAACCCCTCTTAATCTTGGAATGGGTATTGTTTTTATATTTTCAAAAGGAGAAGAAAAGGAAGAGTTATTGATTAGGTTCATATGGATCTTTGATATTTTCTGGGTAAATAGCTTATTGCTATTTAGTCTATCACAAACAGGATATGCTGTCTTGGGTACATGAAGATAATAGAACTGATTGTTTTATTGGAAGTTCTGTTTGACTTTTGGCCAAAATCATCACACCTCTGATTTGTCCATAATTGTTTTCTTATTGGTACTATTTCTTTTCTTTATGGAGACCGACTCTATACCTCTTCAGTGGATCGATCCCTTTTTGATATTTTAAATGGCTAAGGAAGATTTCAGAATCTTCTTTCCAAATAAAAATTTCCTTGGTATGAAGATAATTCATCAAACTTGGGCCAAATAGGCTATTTGATCTGCGTTTCCTGAGATGGGTTACTCTAGAAACTGCTTTAACATTACTTTAGGTATTGAATGGATTTTAATAAATGGTATAGGACCTTCATTTTGAGACCTAGCTCACTAATGGTTTGAAGATACTGTCAAATAAGTTAATTTAAAGCCTTATTTTCTTGTATGAATCAGCAGTTTTAAAGTTGGTCAATAAATGGGGAAGAAAAACTGGAAAGAAATAAGATGATCAGGCACATCAAAGATGGAAAAGTTTTATGAGAAGGAATTGGAAAGGTGGTTTGTGTGATTATGTGACTTAGTGTTGCCTAAGCGTGGAATTTCTTCTGGACTGAGATATAGTGAATAAAAGAATGTGTGCTTCTACTTCTGTGTCCCATAGGACTTGAATTTCAGATTCTTGAAGGTTGAGGATATATGAAAATGATTTATTCAGTTATGCATCAATGTAAAAAAAGCTATTTTGTCATTTGCATTTTGCTTTGAATTTCTTTTTCTTAAATCTGGTTTGAAACCTAGTAACTTATTCATTTTTCAACTTTCATTGCAGCACCTGATCAACTTTCTAGCAGGAGAACGATCATGGAGGTGGTGCCAGCTGAGGTGAATAGTTTGCTTCCAGAGGAGATAATGGACACTGGTATAACTTTAGTGGATGATGATAGTATTGAGGCTGTTATTGTTTCATCCCCAATTCCCATGGAGACAGAACTGGAAGAAATTGTCAACATAAATTCTACTGGCGAATCTACAGCCACGCCCATTTCCACGGAACCAATCACAGTGTACAGTAACCACACTAACCAAGTTGCAGTGAATACCACAATTACTAAAGCAGATTCTAATACCACAGTGAAACCAGCTTTTCCAAGTGGCCTTCAAAAACTTGGTGCTCAGACTCCTGTGACTATATCAGCCAATCAGATTATTTTAAACAAAGTATCACAGACATCTGATCTTAAACTTGGCAATCAGACCCTTAAACCAGATGGACAGAAGTTAATTTTAACAACTTTGGGCAAGTCTGGTTCACCAATTGTTTTAGCACTACCCCATAGCCAACTACCCCAGGCTCAGAAAGTTACAACTCAGGCCCAGTCAGGAGATGCTAAGTTACCACCGCAGCAAATTAAAGTAGTTACCATTGGAGGGAGGCCAGAGGTGAAACCTGTCATTGGTGTCTCAGCACTGACCCCAGGAAGTCAACTGATTAATACTACAACTCAGCCCTCTGTGTTACAGACCCAACAGTTAAAAACAGTGCAGGTAAAAAAAAAAAAAAAAAAGGGGCTTATTAATTAAAATGCATGTTAAAACAATTTAACTGATTTCATAGTTGTGTTTTTAGGGTTATTGCTCAGTTGTTACTAAATTATTTTGAATGTTGCTTTGAGTAATTGTGTGGGATTTTTGTTTTTAAGTTTGGTATGTCTGATGCTTATGAAAATTTCTGCTAAAGAACTTAGAACAAATTAAATTTTGGTTAAAATTCCAAGTTAGTTTATTTATAGCCTTTTACTCATTTAAAAATGCATTTTATTCTTAGTGGTAGTTTGATTATAAGGATGTGTTGATTGTATTAAGAAGCCAGACTTGCTGCAGGGATACCAGAAAGTCAATTCATTTTTTTTTCCCCTGCTAACAGATAGCCAAAGGCTAAGAAAACTTTACTGCTCCTAGAAACCATTGATGCTAGCAAAAGCACATGCTCGCCAGAGTGTGCCTGGTTTTTGGAGTCACTCTGTTGTCATCACTTGTGTTTAGATTATGGGCAAGACAGTGACATATGATGGAGGATGACGTAGGCTTTGCAGTTGAACCAACTGGGGCTTTGAATTACCTTGGTATTTCCCAACCAGCTGTGGGAACTTCGCGGGAGGTTATTTCTCTTAATTTTTGACTTTTAGTGTAAGATGGCTATTTGATCATGATGAAATATATAGTACTGTATAGTTCCAAGAAATTGGAGCTCTTTCAAAATTTTACCTATTTTTATGAATAGGACTCTCTCAGGCCATCATTGCTCTTCGGAGTAGAGTGATCCATTTATATCCAGAAAACAAAAATTCATTCCTCATTTGAAACAGTTGCCTTTCAGAAAAAAAGAAAAGGTGTGAGTTAAAGTACTGAAGGAAGAGTAGAAGTGTTTGGTGGAACTGAGCCCTCTTAGCTGATATTGGAAGTAATGTTTTGGTTACCATGTTGACAAAAGAATAAAAAACTTATTTTTCATGGGCTTTGCACTTGAGAACTCCGTACTTTGTAATTTGCCCATGTCTCTTCTGCCACTGTTAGGCATTTAGTGCCCGTTTCTTTCTTGTTCAGTGTCATCAGTCACTTATCTCTTCCTTTTCCTCATTTTTGTGGAGAATCTCTTGAATAAGATAGTCTGTCACCATCAGGCATCTCGTCCTCAGTTTGGAAACTTGCTTTGATTGACTTTCCAGAGTTTATCTGGCTTTGGTACTGTGGATCACAGTTATGTTCACAAGAACCTGATAGCATGAATCAGAATGTTCATTTTTTTTTCATTTATGCAGGCAATGTATATATATTGTTTCAATGACTGGTGTACTTGTAAACCACTAGTTTTCTACTATAATTCCCTGAATACTGGCAATAAAAACAAAGATTTGGGTCTAATTCTTGTTTTATTGTTACTTTTATAAAACTTTATTCCAATTTTTAAAATATAATTTCTATTTTAAAAAAGAAAAACAGAAATCTACTTAGAGTATTGTTCTACTTGTCCAGTTATTTTTAGGCAACTCAAAATTTCTCAACTCAGGAAACCTTCAAAGCTCTGTAGCACAGGGAAAAAAAAAAAAACAAATAAAAAACTCTATGTCTGTAATTCTCTTTTTAGACAACAATATTTAGTTTAGTATCACCTGGAGTATATGATTCTGTTTTTTTTTTTTCCTATACAAACCTTAGCATTGTCTTAGATTTAGTGAGAGTATTGAAATTGTTGGGTGTGGACAGCAGGTGTAGGTAGAAGGAGGCCCATCTTGAAAAATGATGAGAATAGGGGACAGTTGAGTCCAGAGGCAGTCAGAGATGTTTAGTTACACTTAATCCCAGATTTATAAACACTGTCTCGTGTGTTACGTGCATAATATGAAAGAACAGGAGATAATTAACATCTGTGGGAACATAGCCCCTTAATAGCTCCTGCTTCTGTCCAACACACCATCCAACACTGTTGGCAGAGTCAGGGCTACTCAGAAATGTTTATGGCAAACTAGAATTAAAACATAAGATTCTGTTGGTACAAAAATATATGAAATCCATGCATATTATTTTCATAGTTTGCATTGTTCTATGAACTTGCTGAAGATCCCATATACTATTTGATGATACATTTGGCTACCTTATTTGTAAATTTTCTTTCTCTTCATTTTTGTCTTAAACTTTTGATTGGATAAACTTGTTAAAAATGAGCTTTTATAGTTGGTAGTAATTATGTACCAGAGTAGTTTAGGATTCAAAATGCAACAAATCATGGTTCCTAAATGGAACTGGAGATTTTTCAGCTGTGCTCTATAAAGAAACATAACCTCAAAGGCAAGGTGAGCTTGTTCATTTGGATAGTTAATGTGTTCTTGGCTGTACTGTTTATATTTTTTTCCTTATTGGTAAGTATTTATATAATCAAATGGCTGTGCAAATCAGTTAAAAAAGAGGAAATACTTTGAACTCTTAATCCTTATAGGTAAAGTTATTTATGCTGGATATGGATTTCTAAGAATATCAATACTTCTGCCTCTCAAGATCATTGATACTATGTATGTAGATGAATTCTGGCTCACTTTAGAATTTTAGGCCTGTACACACATTTGGAAAATATTTTCCCTTTATGTTTTTAAATTGCATCATCTTCTTAAAATATAATTATGGATTTATTTAAATCTGTCATAGTTTGTAAACTTGGTTTTGTAATATGATAATGGGTCACTTTTTGAGTGATTTGTATTTTATGTGCATTTTGTTTTGTCCATAATATATTCTGAGTGTAAGAAAGTAATCTGGATATAAGATTATGTTATTTAATTTATAATTTGAGCACAAAGAACTGATGAACACATCGTTCTATGATCTATGATAGCTTCTGGTATATGTCTTGTTTTTTAATTTAAAAATTTGTTTCTGGTATTTTTTGTCATTTAAGTCAGTTATTTTTATTCATTTGAATCATATTTCTAGTAATAAAACTTTTAGGGCCTCAGTGTTCATATCTTGGAAGAGATAAAATTAATATTGAATGTCCTTCACAGCTCTAAAATTTTTGTCATAGGTAAATTTTTGCTTCTGACTTTTAGAATAAGCTATGTATTTGCATATGGTGATAATTTCAACATAAAAGTGTTGGTAACTACCTTCCCTGACTTGAGGAGCGTTTTAGTTTGGGTCAGCAGTGTGCCAATATATGCCTTCAGAATGGAGGTGGATGAAATACAGACCCTGCCTTCACGGAGTTGACAGCACAGTAACCTAAATTTCAGTAAACAGCATCTTGGAACCTTGGCCTTTATAATAGTCTTTGTTCCTTCAAACTTGTTTTTGTTTTGTTTTGTTTTGTTTTTTATATCCTGGGTCTTTAACATACTCAGTTCTTCCTTTATCTACTCCTGATATATACATCTAAAGTTGAAAACCTAATTGTAAGCCAGTCTTTAATGTATATGTGTTTTATTGCACCCACTGACCAGTGTAATTGAATGTTAGGTGACTCCATTGTTTGCACTATGTGCTTTCTTAACTTACTCTACTCCAGTTTTTTATTACCAATAATTGGTTATTTTGGAAAAGATACTGCTGTGCCACAGTGTTTTAATTATTAAACATTAATTTGTTTTATGTCATATGTGTCTGTTCAAGAGACTAAAATAAGGATTTATAATAAATGCAAAGGTGTTATTAAATATGGCCTTGAGAATGTGATCATTCCAATATTTTAATGAATGGCTTCGTTTTAATTGTTTTTGACATTAATACATAGATATATGTTCTTAAATGAGTTGGTTTCATATTTACTATTGTGTATAAACCTTTTTTTTTCTAATTTTGATTGAACAGATGTTTTTATAGAAACACATGGTCTTCATAGTTATTTGTATGTTTCAGATTGCTAAGAAGCCTCGAACACCAACCTCTGGTCCAGTAATCACGAAGCTGATCTTTGCAAAACCAATTAATAGTAAAGCAGTTACAGGACAGACAACTCAAGTATCACCACCAGTCATTGCAGGTTATATTTCTTTATAGTTTATTAAGCTACATACTTATCTTCCTTTTAGGTTTACAAATGGCTGTTCTGCCACCTTAAAATGTTTGAATGCAACAAGTACAGCTTATTATAAACCAAACTGCTTCATAAGAAATGTTACACTTATTAAAC